AAGAGCAAAATCTGGAACGGATTTGGAGGACTGTGCTAAAAGTGAAAGGATCCCTATGAGAACTTTTTGTTTGAGTAGAAGGAGCTAAGGAAAAGTAAAGGGAAACACCAGACCTCCTTGGCTGCTCTGACCCTGTATAGACGGCGATTTCAGAAGAGCTTGGAGATAAGTTCAGACGAAAGGGGCTTCATGGCCTGGCTATCTCCTTCCAGCTAGAGCCCAGATGAAAGAGAAAGCTCCTCTGTCTGTGCTCTACAGAAGCGAGAGCTGGGGGACTGTCCTGGTCACCTGGTTGGGGTGACTTGAAGCCTGTACTTAGCTGTCTGGCAGAACCAGCGCAGAACCTGGGCCAGAATGCAGAAGGCACCGGAATGCTGGAGGCCATCAGCCTATGTCCCTGCCCTTTCCTTGGACACACAGATGGGGTTAAGAAACCTACATTAGTTCTGTATACAATTGGTTACAAAAACAAAAAATTGTCTGTTTGAGGCATATTGTCCTGGGTTTACTAAGAGTTACCATTCACTGGGTGCCTTCTGTTTGCTAAGTATCTCATTTAATTCCACATTATCTGTTCAGGCACACACTTTATGGATTCTCAGGTTTAAGGTACTCACCCAGGGATGTGCATTTAATAACTGGGGTGCTAGAATGCTAACGCAAGTTCATTCTCCACTCCAGATCCCCTGCTCTGGTTCAGCGTTTCTAGCACTGTTTACATCTGGGACTGGATAATTCTTTGTTGTGAGGGGTTGCCCTGTGCATTAGAAGATGCTTAATAGCATCTCTAGCCTCTACCTATCAGATGCCAGTAAGATCCTTCTCCGGTCCAGCTGTGATAACCCAAAATGTCTCCAGATGTTGCCAAATGTCCTCTGGTGGTGCACAGCGACACTGCTTCTCCTGCGCACCAAGGAACCACGTAGTCTAACCCACCACGCTGTATTGTTTCCTGGCACTTTGTAAGTACGACAACATCACCCTGTGCTACAGTGAGATATGTTACAATTCACCAAGTACTTTTATAGCCATTATCTCCTTTCACAGCATTTGAGTGCATGGCAGGATTTAATCCTGAAAGTTAATCCACCTGGAAATTATGAATACTACTAAGAGATCTATTATATACATTTAGCTTTCTCCAAGAAATTGAGAGAAAAGAACCTGAGTGAAATCTCATTTCATCTTTGGCCCCATGAGCCACTGGGAGAAAAAAAAATTGCTAATGCATAGCTTTGTGAGAGCATAGCATTATGTGATTTTCTGGAGGACGAAGTCTGCTGCTTGTACCTCTCTGTCTCCTGCGCAGGCTTGCCTACAACAGAGAACTCTCGCTGAATGTCGAACATTGCATGGAACACCTGCTTCATAAGAGCCCTTAACTATTTGAGGAAAACAAAATTAAAATTATATCCCCTCAGTTTGTATCTTCCTAATTTACACATAAATTTTAATAAAATTCATATACTGAAAAAATTAATGGCAATATTTATGGAAGTGCAGAGAACTTAGTGCCAGGTTCTTCTTCCCTGTCACTGAAAAAACATAGCAGAGCAAAACTCAAGTTCAACTGAAACAAATGTTCACCGGAGTCATCCCTTTCAACACATGCCAAGAGAACTGTAGCTATTGCACTAGAGTCATATTTTATTGGGTCAAGGAAAAATATTATGGGAGAATCTTTTACTTTTTTCCTTCAGATTGTCACTAAACTATTACACCTAATATACAATCCTAAAAGGAATGTTTGCTTTTAAAAACATCTGAATTAAAAATAAAGTAGCTAGTTACAGTTGCCTTCAAAGTTGCTCTTTAAAAACTCCTAAGAGGCCAGGAGAGTAAAAACAAAATGTTCTCATTCACATAACCATTTGCAAAGCCCAGCTGAGGGGAATATTGTTACCTAGGAAATGATAAATCTGTACATGGCTTCCAAGGAATTTTAAAATAACTACCAATAAACAATATTAATAACAAAACTAGCTAGACTCTATGGAGCACTATGTGCCAGGCCCTGAACTCAGCATTCTACATGCACACATCTTCATTCCAGTCACATGAGGCACATACTCATTAGTATCTTCTTTTTCAGGTAAGAAAACTGAGGCCAGAAGAGGTGTAATAACTTGCCTAAGATCACAGCCAGATCCAGGTTCGAGTGAATGATAGCTATATAAAGCTTTTGATTATATCCAGAAAAAAAAAAAAAGAGAATTGAGGAAAATGATGGAAGAACAGGGAGATGTTAACTCAATTTTTCACACTGGGTGCCATGGAATCCCAAAACCAAAATGGATTTGCAGAAACTATTCTCTTCACTTTGCTTCTATATTGCTCCTTTTACATGAAATCTCAAGTACAAGGCATTAATTATACACATATGTTAAGTGATTTTTCTGGATACCGTGTGTGTATGAGAAAACAAATCTTTTGTTTGTTTTGTTTTCTGTAAAAATGCACAGTGATGAAAAGAACCTGGTCAAGAGTACCTGCAAGGGAAAAAAAAGGCTTATTTTCTCCAGTTCAATATGCCATAAAGCACAACAGTAAGGTGATAGGCCCAGTATTTTAACACATATACCAGATCATAAACACCCAAAGGAAGGTGCACTCAGATTGCCTTCGATCCTAAACACACACACGTGCCTCTACAGGATGTCCATCTTGGAACTGCCAGACCTTCCAGAGGACTCTCATCACTTTAATGGCCATACTTCCTATACAACCTTCACTCCCCACCTCAGAGGCCACCGTTGGCCTCACATGGTATTTGGCTCTTTCCCAACTGAGGAAGGTTGGCCATCAGGAGGCAATTCAGTTAAATGCGTTGCAAACTCTGAAGGCAGTGCCAAAGCACGAGCTTCAAAATTATTCTCAGCAATGACAGCATCACCAGAATTAGTGTACAGCTTGCCAAGATGAGGCTTTTGAAGGGGAGAAATACTCACTTGAATGTATAAATACTGGCATATTTCTTTTAACATTTGGATAAAGAATTGGAAGAATCAGCTAGCTTTATTTGCAAGTGAATAAATATTCTGCTGCAATAATGATCATGCAGATTTTTGTACAAGGTTCTGACCACCCCCTTAATGAAAAAAAAAAAAAAAGCTTGTCCTGTAATACTTGTAAAAAGCATAAATCACTCCTCATTAACTTTCATAATTATTGAAGAGACTTCCTTTTCATGAAGAAGGAAAACAAACAAACAAACAAAAGGGGCCAAAGGAATGCTAGTTAGCTACATAGTCCTTGATCCTCCCAGGAAGCTCAGATCTCAGTGCTGTCAGAAGACAGATCTACATCCAGGACAGAAGGAGAGGGAGACAGCTCTCTCTCCCTGGCCCCCACAAAGCCTGGTAACCTTCCAATAGAGAAATCCACGTAATAGAATCCTGGGCCCTGGGTCTTCCTGAATTAGCTATAGTGTTAAACAAACTAATTATCACACGTAAAGGAAGCTGGAACCAAAGACAAACAACAGAAAACAAACAAACAAACAAGCAAACAGATGCTACACTGGTCATTTGTTTATCTTTATACACACACTTGGATAGCCATCCAGTGAGGTCCTAAGCAGTCCCACTCCCTGCCAGGCGACCTGGACACTTCAGGGGTCGGTACAGAATGTGGACATTTTATGAGGGCAAAGGCAGTCCACCTTCCAAGTAGATACCTTCCTATTAACTTTAGTAAGGGAGATCTCAACACAAACAATCCCAAAACTCTACAATATTCCCGATGTTTATTTGGCTGAGGAATCCAGTGCATTTGTGGGCGGTGTGTTTGTGTGTGTGTTGGTGCACATTGCTGACTTTCCTCCAGATTTTATTCGGAAATAGCCTCTCACAGAGTACAAAGTGGGGAGCAAGTAGCACATACGGAACTAAAAATTACACACTCCCTTATTGTGAGTTATGTATGCCTAAGGCACACACAGGTAGATCTTAACTGTACATCTGAAATCTCACTGTGTAAACTATTCTTTTAAACGTAGATTCTTCTCAGCTGGTCTGTGACCAAAATCACTTCTAACCCAGCTCAAAATATACAGGCTGCATCAAAGAGCTCATCTGGGGCCTCACCCTTGTTGGTCGGTAGCTGGGTGGCCCAGGGACCACAGCTGCCTTCGGGTCCCCCGTCCCAGTCTCCCTTGCCCAAATTGCTACCACTCCCCGAGTTTGCTGGGCGCGGAGTTTCCACCTGCCTCCTTTGAATTGCCCAGTCTTGCTCTCTTGAGTGACTGCCCTCTTGAGGTGCCCATAACCCCATTCCACAGAGGGGATGCGGTCCCTTGGCAGAGACACTCCCCGCGTCCTGGCCCCACCACTCACCCAGCCGTCTCCGGATCCCCCGCCGCAGCATTCCATCCCTCCAACCCCTTATTCTCCATAACGTAACCCGCTGCACCCAGGCTCTGCGCACAACTCCGCTTCCCGCGCCCACCCTCAGAGAAGCCCCTTCCATCTTTCCCCTGAGAAGCCACAAGCCTCGCCCTACCTATCCTTTCTGGGGCTCCCCTCCCTCCGGCTCCCCCTTCCGCCCCGCCTGCCTCGGGTTTCCTTTCCTCTGCACTCCCCTCCCGGGTTCTGCTCTCCGCCCAGCTGAGGGCGCCCGGAGAATACCGACAGGGCACTCAGGGTTCCGCGCCGCCGCCCCCCCCCAGTCTCTGTACCCGCAACACCCCAGCTCGCGATCCTGACCCCTCAGCGCTCCAGGTTCGGGTTCCGAGACCTCCCACGTTCGCGATCCTGACCCGCCCCCTCGCCCTCGGGGTTGGGGCTCAAGGAGTCGCCAGCTTAGGTGCACTGACACTCCGCCCCCGGTTTCGGGTTTCTCAACCTCGCGATTCAGAACGCCCCTCTGGGCTCAGGTTCTGGGGCTTCCCTACGTCGCGATCGTGACATCCCCGCCCCGCGTGCTCGCGCCTCGGGGCTCCCCAGTGATGCGGTCCTGATCCCCAGCTGGACCCACTCCGCGCTTCCCGCGATGGAACTCACTGTCAGGGGCGGCTGGTGTCCGAGAGCGCAGCCCGGTCGGCTCAGCCCGCAATACCACTCAGCTCACAGCTCCCAGCTTCGCACAGGCGGCTGTGACCCCGGCCCGCGCTGCACTGGGGAGAGGCCGAGAAAAAGGGGACGGCTGGGGGCGGGCACCGCCCGGCTCCGCCCCTTCCCGGCCCCCGGGCGGGATGCGCAGACCCGGGCACCCCCTCCTCCCACTGCGTCCCTGGCTGCCGCGGCAGAGGAAGTTGGCTGACGCCTCTTCCTTCCACCCAGGGCTCAGACCCGAACAACCCCCTTTCAGCTGCTAAAGGCCGGAGGAGCTGAGACAGAAACATTTAACCTCTGTCTAGTTCTTTCCAAGAACCCACCCCGGAGGCCTCTCCCAAGTCTTTCAGGAGAGGGGACAAACAGTAAACTTTATCATTAATCTCAAGACTGATTCAAATCCTGGCCTTCTCTCTACACTGGCATCTGCACATGCAGGGTCATTCTGCCCATGAAATCATGTTATAACACATCCAGGAGGGCCCGTGCAAACACACGCGCCTTCGCACCCCTGAGATACACTCATGAAGGGCTCTCGCATGACTTAGGAACCACACGAACACAACCTTTGCACTGACACGCTGGGAACACATTTCTATAGCACTCTGTTCTCATTCCACAGCACTCTAGCGGGTCATTGTATAGCAATGACCTACACATACAAGCAGCAGGGAGAAGAGGAAATTCCACATCTAGTCTCAGACTTGCTCCTGACCCACAGTCTATATTTTACCCTGAGAAAAATACGTTCAGGCTGTAAGAGCATCAGTTAACAAATTGAATTGTCTTTAGTGTTAAAAAAAAAAAAAAAAGCCGTCCTTATCATCTGGAAAATGAGAAACTGATCAAAACCTGGTAGGTAGTCAGCATCAGCGCTTCTGTGAGAGGTTCATTTAACTCATTTCATGACTTTTTTGAGACAATCGGGCCTATTTCTGGTCTGTTGATACCTGGCACTTTTTTCCCCCACTATACCACCCTGCTTCAATGATGTGTCTAACTACACCTCACATTTGTACAGCGTGGCACTTCACTTTTTAAAACATTTGAAAGTTCATTATTTTATCTATCCTCAACAAAACATCATACAGCAATGACAGCAGGTTATTCAGTGGTCTTCCCACAGAATCGTGAGCCCAGCACATGGACACTGGTGGAAATGTCCCAGCAGGCCTTTGAAGATTTGCCCTCTCCAACACAAACATGTCAATAAATTCACCCATGTTCATAAAATCTTGAGCCACCAATATTAACAATCATTTATTTTCCGTCCAGAGATCATACTTGTACAACAGAGTCGATTGAGAGGAAGTGAAAAGTCTCTTTTCTTCTCTCTGCCACTCTAGAAACAAAATTACAGGTCCGCAAATATGAGGTTCCAACCACAGGCTCAATCCAACTGAAGTGGGCTGAGCTGATTAAGTCTGCACAACACATGCTGATTATTCTTGCAGCTTCTTTTCTCCCCGAGAGATACTCTGCCTGGTGTGTGGAGAGGGTTCTCTTGTTTTAAAAGAAGATCGACAACCTTTTAATGCTTTTTCAGTGTCACAGTAAGAAAATGGTAAATGTTCCTTTTCACTGAAACTTCATCTAGGGGACTGGTGTGAAAGTGTATTGGGTGTTAAGCATTTTTATCTGTGGGGGAGGGCAGCTGTCCAGAGCCACCTAGAGTGCTAAGCCACCTAGAGTGGTAAGAGTGGCAGTTTCGCATCCTCCAGGCTTTGTTTTCATGTGGTAAAATACACATAAAACAAATTTTACCATCTTAACTTTAAACAAATAGTTTTAATTGTGGTAAATATGCAGAATATAAATTTTTCCCCTTAGCCATTTTTCAAATGTACATCTCACTAATGTTAAGTACATTCCCATCCCTCATGCCTTTTTGAACTGCTTGAATCTCATGCTAGATATTTTGGCGACTCTGGAAAAAAGAATCCTAAAGTGAACTTACTATTTTTGAATCATAATAAAAGTCCCTTGGATCTTTCATAAAGGACAGTCAGTATGGCCTTTAGAATATGAGAGTTCACAGCCCTCTTCCCTCCATGAAACACTCCCATCTGGCAACCTAATTTTGACTTGTGGTTTTTCCAAAAGCTGAAAACAGGTAAGATCTTGGATATGGCAATATTTCCTCTGAAAGAAGAATGCTAAACTACTAATGCAATCAACATCCTATCAGATGTAATTTCCCTTTCAGATTGTCCTCGAAAGCCACAGGCACAGGGCAGTATGCAACACGCTTAAAAAGTAGACACGTAAGATTAAGGAGCTATTTTTGTCTCAAACTCTAACAAAATAACTTGATCCATTTTATGTTGTATGCATACCACACTGGCACTGTTTTTCTATCACTTCTGCTGCGTGTTTACATAGCATCCCTTTCTCAAGAAGCTCAAAGTTCATGTGATGATATCATGTTACTTAAAGTTCATATTTTTTATGTGAAAGAGGAAGAGGATAGGAACTGTTTGCCTGACTGTAACACGGAGAAATGGTGGTGTGAGGTAGTTAAATCATTTTCCTGAAACATCTTGGTATACTGATTTATACTGGTCTATCTTGAAAGAAGATAGCATATACATGATAACACATACAAGAAACAGTTATTTAAAAACCCCAGTTATCCCCCCTCCCCCACACACACATCTTACAGAGAGACTGAGGGCCATTCTTCACTATCTTGGCAGAGAAAAGGAGAGGACTTTGCATCATGGACTTGGAAGTCAGAACATCCTGAGTCTGAGCCCCTCTAACACCGCTTAGAGCTTTGGTGAGTTACTTGACCTTTCTGGGTTTCAGGCTCCCAATCCATAAAATGGAAATAATAACCATACCCACTTCATATAGTTATTTCTAGGATTAAATATAATAATACACAAGCACTGAGCATATCACATAATGAGAACTTGATGAATGCAGTTGAAAAGGTAATGGCTTCACTTAAGTGGTTGCTCATAAGAGCCTTTGTTCCAATGCTTTCTACTTGAAGAAAAGATGTACTATCTTTGCAGGCTCCATGGGAGGAATTTGGAGAATCTTGAAGGTTTATATTTCTAACTCTTGAACCAAATCTCTCCATTCTTTAACATTTCACCAGAAGATAGCCATCCATATTTAGCTTATCTATTTAGAACCCTCTGCCAGCTGGCCAACTGGGAAAGCAACCATGATAGTAATTTCACCCACAGGAAGCTCTAATGAGCTGTGGTTGAATCGGAATAAAAATAAAAATAAGAATGATGGGTTTTGCGCTGGCTGGTGTGGCTCAGTGGATTAAGTGCGGGCCTGCGAACCAGCGGGTCACCTGTTTGATTCCCAGTTAGGGCACACGCCTGGGTTACCAGCCAGGTCCCCAGTAGGGGGCGTGCGAGAGACTGCTGCAGGTTGCTGTTTCTCTCCCTTTCTTTTTCCCTCCCTTCCTCTCTCTAAAAAGAAATAAATAATTTTTTTTTTTTAGAAAATAATAATGGTTTTCTTGTGCTGTATGTCTATGTTATCTCATTTAAAGGTGAAATGGTAAGGGCTTATTAAAGGCCAATTTGATTCCGTCTGGAGTGGTTCATTCCTCCCCCCTCATTTTATTTCTTAATAATAATAATTAACAATTCAGGGGCCAAACCAATGAACACATGTAGACAAGAGAGACAAAATCCAGAAACTTCTGGGCCTTCAGCAAAACTGGGTACCTGTGAGGCTGCACCACCTGGCATCTGATCTCCCGCTCTCTGATGTAACTAGTTTCTGATTGAAGAGTTGCAGGTGGCAAACTGCAAGAGTGAATGATGAAATGACCACCTAGGAACCCTTTGTATCATTAACAAAATGATATGAATTCCTAAATTCAAAAACATTTGATATGTAAACTGTTAACACTTGTTTCTAAACAAGACTTAAATTTAGAAAGTATATAATTGCATCCTAGCAATTTAACAGAAAATAAAAGTGTAAATATTAAAATATAAGGCCTTTCCTTATTCTTCAGCAGAAATTTGCAACTAAAAAACTTCAATAAATGGTCTTTATTCCCCCTCCCCTTCAAAGTTTGTAACAATTGTGCTCCCTTTCACTTTGCTCCTGATTCTTAGTCATTATGTCCTGAGGGGGAGTGTGGTCAATCCCTAAGCACAGAGAAAAATCAGAAGAATTGAACTCCTGAGACTGATGTTAAAAATTTTGAGAAGTAAACCCTTTTCAGTTTGCCCAACTCCAATTCAATCTGGACTGTGTTTTAAAGGAATATTTGGGAGGGAAATTTCTCAGATTTAGAACTAGGGAAGGAGAGCCATGTGTGGGGGACCCAGGATGGTGTGCGGGAGGAAAAATAACTTTCCTTCTACCCTTATAAGTTCTTATGCCTGTCTAGTAATCAGATTAACATGAGACAGACTAACAGGAGAAAATGACCAAATTTATTGTGCACGTATATGCAGGGAGTCCCTAAGAATATGGAACCCCAGGACAAATAAGGCAGTAAGGTTTACCTGCCCTTCTGGACTAAGGAGAGGGAGGCGGGGGTCTGGGCTGCAAATGGAAAGCAGGCAGTTTATGGGTAGATGGGAACTAGCAAACATTTGGGAAACCAGCTGTTGCCTGGCCACTCAGACACCATGGCACACAGAGGGGTGTCCAGCAAACACGTCGCTAGGTTCTTCCTTATCTGTCACTCTTAGTTTATTTATTTCAGCAGAATTTTTTAGCTGTTCCTCTAGGCAGGTAAGGGGGAGGGTTAAAGATTCTTTCTGAGTCTTTTGTTTCTTAACAATACCAGCTTAAAATGATCAATATCCCAAAAGGACATATTGGGGGGTGGCAAACTCTTTTCTCCCTCAGTGGAAAGCTGAGGCTTGAACCTCTAGAATTTGCCACAATCCCTGTTGGTGTGTTGCTAAAGGAAGGACATGACCCTTTACAGCTAATTCCAGTCCATCCCCTATCGTCTACATTAGGCTAATGGGTAAAGGCACAGACCGTCCTCTGTTGGGTCAGAATCCCCAGGGGTGTCAGAGTGTTCTGTCCATGGCTTTTTAGGTGATGTCTTTCTGGAGGAGACTTATCTTGGCTCTCAGTTCCTTTAACTAGGATAGAAAGATGAAAATGGCAATCATGGACAACATGAATAACAACTGCATTATTCATGTTTGATTCTGGCTTGGTTTC